AGTTAATAAGACATTTTTCTTTTCATGGTGATGCAAGCACGATGCACATATGCAACACATTTCTAAAACACGCAGCAAAGTGCGCATTTTCTGTGCATTTTACCTTGCGTTCAGAAATACTCAAATGTAAATGTGGCCCAGTTGTTGATACCTGAATTGTAGTTACAGTAGCATGCTACTATTGCAACGCAACTGTGATGTGTGTTTGCAGTGAAATTCTGAATTGTACGGCAAAGGTTGCGTTTTTGCATGGGGGTTCAGAAATGTGCAGATATGAATGCATGGCAGCACATGCATGATGTGCATTTCTGAATTGTGCGACAAACTGCACCACAAGGTTCACGTTTTCTGTGCGGGTTGCCATGCAATCAGAAATGCACAGGTGTTAATGCAGCCTAATTGTTAATGACACCCCCACATTACTAACGTATGTCATTATGGGAATGCAAGTGTGGTGTTGCAGTGTTTTTTTTTCCAAAAAACATTTTGTGCACGTTCAAAAACTTGCAGTTGTGAATGCATGTTTCTGAAATGTGCAGCAAAGATTGCGGTTTCCATTACAGTTGCCGTGCATTCAGAAATGCCCAGATGTGAATGCAGCGTAATTGTTGTTGACACTCCAATTTAGGTTACCAAACTTGTGCTTTGCAGAGCATTTGTTGCATGACAAAATGCGCTACAAAAGTGCCAAAATGCACAGTAAAAAAAATTGCTACACTTCACGTCTGAAAAGGTTCTTGAGCTACTTTGGGGCGTTTGTTGCGTATAGTCAAGTGAATGGGCGGCCCTGTGCACGACACATAAATGTGAGCTGGAATGTGCGTATCCGCTACACACAGGTGTGAATGGAATGTGCTTGGGAAGAGAGTTTTTAGGCAGCACTGATGAGTGCCGTGCAACCCTGGATGGTCCAGATGGATAGAGTAGTGGATGGTTGGTGGACGGCCACCCTGTTCCAACAAGGCTGCGACGTCAGCAAGGCGGTGGTGGAGTCATGTTTTGGGGCCGGAATCATGGGAACAGAGCTGGTCAGCCCCTTTAGGGGCCCCGAAGGTGTAAAGATGACCTCTGCAAAGTATGTGGAGTTTATGACTGACCACTTTCTTCCCAGGTACAGAATGAAGAACTATGCTTTCCATAATAAAATCATCTTCATGCATGACAATGCACCATCTCATGCTGCAAATAATACCTCTGCATCAATGGCTGTTATGGGGATAATAGGAGAGAAAGTCATGGTGTGGTCTCCATCCTCCCCTGACCTCAATCCTATTGAGAACCTTTGGAGCATCCTCGAGCAAAAGATCTATGAGGGTGGGAGGCAGTTTACATCCAAACAGCAGCTCTGGGAGGCTATTCTGACATCTTGCAAACAAATTCAAGCAGAAACTGTCCAAAAACTCACAAGTTCAATGGACGCAAGACTTGTGAAGCTGCTATCAAATAAGTGGTCCTATGTTAAAATGTAATGTGACCTGTTAAAATGTTTAAAAAAGTTAAAATGTTGTTAAAAGTTAGATTGAAATAGCTTTTGATTTCAGTAAATATGCTGCAAACACAACAAATGACAATTTTCAGTTCTTTACAACCTATCAAGTGTTTTGAAACTTACTGTACGTAATCATTTGGAACAGTGCATTGTAAGTTTTTTATGTTTAAAAAAAAATACTGTTATCGTTAGGAGGTTTGTTCAATAAAATTTTAATTGTACTCTTAATAGTTGATAACATGAGATTAATGCGGACTGTTATTTACATCAATTATTTATGTAAATTAGAAATATATAATTTGCATAATAATTTGGAACACAGTGTATTTTGCTAGATTTATTTTTATTTGGGCCAACAGGCTCAAGCTTCAGTAAACTAATAAACAGTAATCTACAAAAATGCTTTGGTAAATTAGTCCACTATGAAAGCATAATCAGGAGGGTTTTGTATTCTTTACTCCATCACTTTAAATTCCAATCTACATCTACAATTACCCCCTCTCGACCCCTTTCCAGGATGAGTCTCCACAAAGTGTAAAGCTGTTAAAGTAGAACTATAGGCAACACTTTTTTTTTTCATTTTGGAGTAAGAGAGGTTATAACTAGAGATGAGCGAAGTATTCAAAAATTCGATTCGGCTGATTCAGCGAATTCGCGGAATAAATACGATTCGAGTCGAATATATCGCTGCGAATTTAACTTATAAAAAGGGTGTTTCTTCTAGGCTTCAGAGAGCCTTTATATTAGTGCAGAACACTGTACCTTTAATTTAAATGCCCTTGGAGTCTGCTGGGGAAGAGAAATAATACTGTCAGTCAGTATGACATGCAGATGAGTGCCGTCGATCTTAGAATCACTGCACACTTCACTCATTTGGGCAGTCACGGGGCCAAAACCAGAGTGTGGAGCCACAGTGTGGCGGTGGAGGCAGCAGCAATGGGAGGCCATACAGCACCCTATGACAAAATGGAACCCACCAGCAGTGTGAGGAGACCTGAAAGTGGCACATGGCAGAGTGTGGCGATGGAGACAGCAGCAATGGGGAGGCCGTACAGGGACCCATGACAGATTACGGGCCTGGCAGCAGCATGAGGAGGCGGTACAGGGGCCCATGACAGATTACGGGCCTGGCAGCAGCAATGGGAGAGGCCCGTAATCTGCCAGCACCCTATGACAAAATGGAACCCACCAGCAGTGTGAGGAGACCTGAAAGTGGCACATGGCAGAGTGTGGCGATGGAGACAGCAGCAATGGGAGGCCGTACAGGGACCCATGACACACTCTGGACCTGGCAGCAGCATGAGGAGGCGGTACAGGGGCCCATGACAGATTACGGCCTGGCAGCAGCATGAGGAGTCGGTACGGGGGCCCATGGCAGATTACGGGCCTGGCAGCAGCAGCATGAGGAGTCGGTACGGGGGCCCATGGCAGATTACGGGCCTGTCAGCAGCAATGGGAGGCCCGTAATCTGCCAGCACCCTATGACAAAATGGAACCCACCAGCAGTGTGAGGAGCAGACCTGAAAGTGGCACATGGCAGAGTGTGGCGATGGAGACAGCAGCAATGGGAGGCCGTACAGGGACCCATGACACACTCTGGACCTGGCAGCAGCATGAGGAGGCGGTACGGGGGCCCATGGCAGATTACGGGCCTGGCAGCAGCAATGGGAGGCCCGTAATCTGCCAGCACCCTATGACAAAAAAATGGAACCCACCAGCAGTGTGAGGAGACCTGAAAGTGGCACATGGCAGAGTGTGGCGATGGAGACAGCAGCAATGGGAGGCCGTACAGGGACCCATGAGAGACTCTGGACCTGGCAGCAGCATGAGGAGGCGGTACAGGGGGGCCATGGACAGCAGATTACGGGCCTGGCAGCAGCATGAGGAGTTACGGGGCCCATGGCAGATTACGGGCCTAATCAGCAGCAATGGGAGGCCCGTAATCTGCCAGCACCCTATGACAAAATGGAACCCACCAGCAGTGAGGAGACCTGAAAGTGGCACATGGCAGAGTGTGGCGATGGAGACAGCAGCAATGGGAGGCCGTACACAGGACCCATGAGACACTCTGGACCTGGCAGCAGCATGAGGAGGCGGTACAGGGGCCCATGGCAGATTACGGGCCTGGCAGCAGCAATGGGAGGCCCGTAATCTGCCAGCACCCTATGACAAAAAATGGAACCCACCAGCAGTGTGAGGAGACCTGAAAGTGGCACATGGCAGAGTGTGGCGATGGAGACAGCAGCAATGGGAGGCCGTACAGGGACCCATGAGACACTCTGGACCTGGCAGCAGCATGAGGAGGCGGTACAGGGGCCCATGACAGATTACGGGGGCAGCCATGAGGCAGGGGGCCCATGGCAATTACGGGCCTGGCAGCAGCAATGGGAGGCCCGTAATCTGCCAGCACCCTATGACAAAATGGAACCCACCAGCAGTGTGAGGAGACCTGAAAGTGTGGCACATGGCAGAGTGTGGCGATGGAGACAGCAGCAATGGGAGGCCGTACAGGGACCCATGAGACACTCTGGACCTGGCAGCAGCATGAGGAGGCGGTACAGGGGCCCATGGCAGATTACGGGGCCTGGCAGCAGCAATGGGAGGCCCGTAATCTGCCAGCACCCTATGACAAAATGGAACCCACCAGCAGTGTGAGGAGACCTGAAAGTGGCACATGGCAGAGTGTGGCGATGGAGACAGCAGCAATGGGAGGCCGTACAGGGACCCATGAGACACTCTGGACCTGGCAGCAGCATGAGGAGGCGGTACGGGGGCCCATGGCAGATTACGGGCCTGGCAGCAGCAATGGGAGGCCCGTAATCTGCCAGCACCCTATGACAAAATGGAACCCACCAGCAGTGTGAGGAGACCCTGAAAGTGGCACATGGCAGAGTGTGGCGATGGAGACAGCAGCAATGGGAGGCCGTACAGGGACCCATGAGACACTCTGGACCTGGCAGCAGCATGAGGAGGCGGTACAGGGGCCCATGGCAGATTACGGGCCTGGCAGCAGCAATGGGAGGCCCGTAATCTGCCAGCACCCTATGACAAAATGGAACCCACCAGCAGTGTGAGGAGACCTGAAAGTGGCACATGGCAGAGTGTGGCGATGGAGACAGCAGCAATGGGAGGCCGTACAGGGACCCATGAGACACTCTGGACCTGGCAGCAGCATGAGGAGGCGTACAGGGGCCCATGACAGATTACGGGCCTGCAGCAGCATGAGGAGTTACGGGGCCTGGCAATTTACGGGCCTGGCAGCAGCAATGGGAGGCCCGTAATCTGCCAGCACCCTATGACAAAATGGAACCCACCAGCAGTGTGAGGAGACCTGAAAGTGGCACATGGCAGAGTGTGGCGATGGAGACAGCAGCAATGGGAGGCCGTACAGGGACCCATCTGACCTGAGCACTCTGGACCTGGCAGCAGCATGAGGAGGCGGTACGGGGGCCCATGGCAGATTACGGGCCTGGCAGCAGCAATGGGAGGCCCGTAATCTGCCAGCACCCTATGACAAAATGGAACCCACCAGCAGTGTGAGGAGACCTGAAAGTGGCACATGGCAGAGTGTGGCGATGGAGACAGCAGCAATGGGAGGCCGTACAGGGACCCATGACAGACTCTGGACCTGGCAGCAGCATGAGGAGGCGGTACAGGGGGGCCCATGACAGATTACTGGACCTGGCAGCAGCATGAGGAGGCGGTACGGGGCCCATGGCAGATTACGGGCCTGGCAGCAGCAATGGGAGGCCCGTAATCTGCCAGCACCCTATGACAAAATGGAACCCACCAGCAGTGTGAGGAGACCTGAAAGTGGCACATGGCAGAGTGTGGCGATGGAGACAGCAGCAATGGGAGGCCGTACAGGGACCCATGAGACACTCTGGACCTGGCAGCAGCAAGAGGAGGCGGTACAGGGGCCCATGGCAGATTACGGGCCTGGCAGCGTAATGGGAGGCCCGTAAATTGAAGGCCCTATACAGAAAAAATGGCCTATGTTGAAAACCTGAAAGTGGCACATGTGTTTGGGGCATGATTCATGGCGGATTTAGTCAGTTGTGTCAGGAACTGGTGGTTTGAAATCCAGACTAATCCACGCCTGATTCATTTTCACAAACGTGAGTCTCTCCACACTTTGGGTGGACAGTCGTGTCCTCCGCGGAGTTACAATACCTCCTGCCGCACTAAACACGCGCTCCGATGCCACGCTACTGGCCGGGCATGACAGCCTTTCAAGGGCAAATTCAGCTAGTTGGGGCCAAAGGTCAAGTTTCGTTGCCCAGTAGTCAAGGGGATTGTCTACCTCGGTTGGCAGGGTGCTGTCCAAGTAGGCCCAAGCCTGTTGTTTGAGGTCCTGCTCCAGGTCCACCTGATGCTGCTGCTGCTGCGGCTGGTTAGTAGTTTCCTCACTGCGCTGGTGAAGAAAGCTACTCATCATCGACTGCAGACTGAGGCAGCCGCTGCTGGTGGAGCTGCCACTGCTCCTACCACCCCACCCCCCCTCCCCTGCTGCTGCCATGGCAGCGGAACGCGAGCGCACAGGGCCCACAGTGTCTGAGGATGGACGTTGGCGCAGAAAGGCAGAGACCAACTGACTACATAGGTGGTTTTTATAGTACGTTATTTTGGCCTCCCTCTCAGCAGGTGTGAAAAAGGCCACCATTTTTGAACGGTAGCGAGGGTCCAACAAGGTGGACAGCCAAAAGTCATCCCTCTGTCTGATGGTTATTATTCGGCTGTCGCTACGCAAGCAACCGAGCATGCTATGGGCCATTTGTGCCAAGGAATGCGAGGGACTCCCTGCCTCCATCTCCACAGCATACTGCCACGGTGCGTCTGGGTCCTCTGTCTCCTCCTCCTCCTCTACCAGATGCTCCTGCTCCTCCACTCCTGTCCGCTGAGTGGAAAAACCACCCATTTCACTCAATAATTCCTGAGCACCAATGTCCTCCTCTACCTCCTCCTCTCTTCTTCCTGTCCTGCCCCCACAGGGGTCATGTGGCGTTGAGATCTGTGCGCCACGTCTACCGCACCCTGACCAGCCATTGTTAACAGCATTTGTTCCAGGACGTGCAACAGAGGAATGACGTCGTTCATCCCATAGTCCTGCCGACTCACGAATAGCGTGGCCTCCTCAAAGGGCCTGAGCAAGCGGCAGGTGTCACGCATGAGCTGCCAATGGCTGACATCTAAGTTACACAGGGGAGTACCTTTATCCGCTTGTAACATCAGGAAATCGGTGATGGCCTTTCGCTGTTCGTAAAGGCGGTCTAACATATGTAGGGTTGAATTCCCACCTTGTTGCAACGTCGCAGATCAGGCGATGCTGTGGAATTCCGTTCTGCCGCTGCAGCTCAAGGAGGGTGTGCTTTGCGGTGTAGGAATGGCTGAAATGCATGCAAAGTTTACGTGACATTTTAAGGATGTCTTGCAGTGGGATGGTGGATTTTAGGAACCGCTTGACAACCAGATTGAACACGTGAGCCATGCATGGCGCATGGCACAACCTTCCTTGACGCAGAGCAGACACCATGTTCTTTCCGTTGTCGGTCAACATGGTTCCGATTTTCAGTTTGCGCGGAGACAGCCATCTGTCGATTTCTCTGTTCATTACACTCAGAAGTTCCTCCCTGTGTGACTACGTTCGCCAAGGCATACCAGGTGCAGCACAGCGTGACACCGTTGCGCCCTGCACATGTGATATGCCGGTCGGGTAATGGGACTTGGCACGGGGGTGGCGGCTGAGGACACGGCGGAAGAAGAGGTGGTAGAGGCGGACATCTTTTCTGGACCAAGGACGTGCAAACGTGGAGGCAAAAGCGGCGTGACCTGTCCAAGTTTGCTGGTGCGGCTGTGCCGGCACCACGTTCACCCAGTGGGCCGTAAATGACATGTACTGTCCCTGACCGTAGTTACAGCTCCACACGTCGGCGCTGCCGTGCACTTTGGCAGAGACCGACATGCTCAAAGACTGGCCCACCATCTCTTCTACATGTGAATGCAGGGCTGGCACTGCCTTTTTGGCGAAGAAATGCCGGCTTGGCACTCTCCACCGCGGCGCGGCACAAGCCATCATTTCTCGGAAAGGTGCTGAGTCCACCACTTGGAAAGGGGAGGGACTGCAGCACCAGCAACTTGGACAGGAGGACGTTCAGCTTTTGCACCGTCGGGTGCGTGCTCGCAAACTGTTGTCTCTTGGAAACGGATTCCAAGAAAGACTGCTGACGGAATCCGTGAAGAGGAGTAGCAGGAGAAGGAGCATCTGAACGAGCGGAAGATGCCAACGAGCGACAACTCCCCTCAGCAGAGGTGTTGGAGCCTTGACTGGCTGATAGAGGGCGATTGACGTCGGGTGACGGAGCAAGTAACGGAGCGGGTGATGGAGCGGGGGCTGGGGCAGGCAGAACCGCCGTATCTTTATCACGGTTTTCCCAGGCCACCCAAATGGCGACGCTGCATATGCTGACGCAACGCTGTAGTCCCAACATGGGCCCCCTGGCCACGCTTGACTTTCTGGCCACATAGTCGACATACGGCTACGTTTACTTCCTCGGGCGGCTTGACGAAAAATTGCCACACCGCCGAGTAGGAAACTTTGCCCCCCTACTCCTCACTGGCTGACTGCTACTTCCTCCGTGCACACCGGCACCACTACTGGCCGTGGTGGTAGGCTGCAGTGGAGCTGGTGCTCTACTCCGTGGCCGTTTGCCTCCACTGACACTGCTGCGACCCTGCTGCCTCCTGGGCAACCCACCGACTGTTTTTGCTCGCTGCCAAGCTGGCACCCTCTTCTCCTGATGATGCGGAAGCAATAGCCTGATGACGACGAGGCTGCCAAGTGCGATCAGCCTCATCATCATCAATTAGGGTCTCCGCCTCACTACTAGCCCCCTCGGCTGCGTGTGGGTCAGGAGACAGACCTGTCTCTAGACCGGCTACCGAGCCACTCTCCTCGCCAGTACTTCTTCGCCTGGCTGCTGAAGAGGCGGATGTCTCCCCCCCGTTCCTGACCGCCCTCTGTTAGCTCTTCCTCACTGTACAGTGGGGCTGAGCCCACAGCATGCGATACTTCGCTTGGTGAGGGAACACCAAAGGACAGGGGCAGGTAGAGGACACGTGATTTCAGTGGGCTTGCTCCCGGGCCATGCCAACTAACGGTTGTGTCTGACGTACCCACCGACCGTTGGCTGTAGGTGTCAGAGGTGACCTGGGAAGAGGAAGACGACCGAGCCAACCAATCGATGACGGCAGGGTTGTCGGTGGAGACACGACCGCTGGGATGACACCGGGAGCACTGGCCTCTGGCTGCGACTAGTGCTGCCTCGACCCCTTCCTCTGCTGCCACGTCTGCTCGCTCCTAAAACATTGCCTCCTCTGCCACTCCTCTGCGTGTTGTCTGACATACTCTTTAATTCAACGATTCTGTGTCCCTGAGTAACAATTCTGTGTCCCTGAGTAACAATTCTGTGTCCCCTGAGTAACAATTCTGTGTCCCTGAGTAACAATTCTGTGTCCCTGAGTAACAATTCTGTGTCCCTCAGTAACAATTCTGTGTCCCTCAGTAACAATTCTGTGTCCCTCAGTAACAATTCTGTGTCTGTCCCTGAGTAACAATTCTGTGTCCCTCAGTAACAATTCTGTGTCCCTCAGTAACAATTCTGTGTCCCTGTAACAATTCTGTGTCCCTGAGTAACAATTCTGTGTCCCTGAGTAACAATTCTGTGTCCTGTCCCTGAGTAACAATTCTGTGTCCCTGAGTAACAATTCTGTGTCCCCTGAGTAACAATTCTGTGTCCCTGAGTAACAATTCTGTGTCCCTGAGTAACAATTCTGTGTCCCTGAGTAACAATTCTGTGTCCCTGAGTAACAATTCTGTGTCCCTGAGTAACAATTCTGTGTCCCCTGAGTAACAATTCTGTGTCCCTGAGTAACAATTCTGTGTCCCTGAGTAACAATTCTGTGTCCCTGAGTAACAATTCTGTGTCCCCAGTAACAATTCTGTGTCTGTCCCTGAGTAACAATTCTGTGTCCCTCAGTAACAATTCTGTGTCCCTCAGTAACAATTCTGTGTCTGTCCCTGAGTAACAATTCTGTGTCCCTGAGTAACAATTCGTGTCCCTGAGTAACAATTCTGTGTCCCTCAGTAACAATTCTGTGTCCCTCAGTAACAATTCTGTGTCCCTCAGTAACAATTCTGTGTCTGTCCCTGAGTAACAATTCTGTGTCCCTCAGTAACAATTCTGTGTCTGTAACAATTCTGTCCCTAACAACAATTCTGTGTCCCCTCAGTAACAATTCTGTGTCCCTCAGTAACAATTCTGTGTCCCTCAGTAACAATTCTGTGTCCCTGTCCCTGAGTAACAATTCTGTGTCCCTCAGTAACAATTCTGTGTCCCTCAGTAACAATTCTGTGTCCCTCAGTAACAATTCTGTGTCCCTCATTAACAATTCTGTGTCCCTCAGTAACAATTCTGTGTCCCTCAGTAACAATTCTGTGTCCCTCAGTAAACAATTCTGTGTCCCTCAGTAACAATTCTGTGTCTGTCCCTCAGTAACAATTCTGTGTCCCTCAGTAACAATTCTGTGTCCCTCAGTAACAATTGTGTCTGTCCCTGAGTAACAATTCTGTGTCCCTGAGTAACAGTTCTGTGTCCCTGAGTAACAATTCTGTGTCCCTAACAATTCTGTGTCCCTGAGTAACAATTCTGTGTCCCTCAGTAACAATTCTGTGTCCCTCAGTAACAATTCTGTGTCCCTCAGTAACAATTCTGTGTCTGTCCCTGAGTAACAATTCTGTGTCCCTCAGTAACAATTCTGTGTCTGTCCCTCAGTAACAATTCTGTGTCTGTCCCTCAGTAACAGTTCTGTGTCCCTGAGTAACAGTTCTGTGTCCCTGAGTAACAA